TTGCAAAATCCACTTGAACATGACGCTGCTTTTTTCGAAGTTTGGTAGATGCACATACATATATACGTACTTTTAGGAAGATCACGTAAAAACGGCTGAGGAATGTTTCCATCTTGTGGGAAGTTCGTCAAGCGAATGTGATACGATTCACGGGAGGCAATGCATGGCAGCTGCTTTTTTTTTAGCTGGTCAGTTTGAGGAAGTATTGGTTTATTTATCCAGTATCAAGAGTTACCTCCATTCAGGTATGCAAGGAAATTAAGTTAAATACTGTTGTAGTTGATATTGTCCGTTACAGATGACACATTCAATTTCAATTTCGCCCAGGCAAAGACGGCTTGCCAACATTTCAAGGATGCAGAAGACAGCTTCTTACTAATTCAGGATCCCAAAATCAAGAACCATTACGTGTATATTTCAAACTTAGCGCGATGTTTTGTTATGAACAGAAAGCCACAAGAAGCCTGGGAATTATATTTGAGGTGACAAGTGCGAATTTTTAAGTTAACATAAAAATTTTCGTTCATTAAACAATTCCCTAATTGATTTAATCTCATTTAGAATGGACAATACACCACAAAGCTTCAATTTGCTTATCCAAATAGGTAATGACTGTTACAAAATGGGGGAGTTCTGGTATGCTGCGAAAGCTTTCGATATGTTGGACCGATTAGACCCGAATCCAGAATTTTGGGAAGGAAAACGTGGGGCTATAGTTGGCGTTTTTCAGGTTAAAGCAGATACAATTTACATTCAAAGCTGGTTATTTTATGTTATTACCTTTGATTTAGGGCGTGGTAGCTAAAACACACTCTGTGGATATGCTTAGCGACATCCTTCAACTTTTAAGGACCAGCAACTTGGGCCAAGCAGAGCATATCGCAAAAGTCATCAGAAATTGGGCCAAGGATGAGAGACTGACCATATCCTAATTTTAAGATTTATTATCGGCAGTTTAATTGGTGTCCGGGATTTTTTGTTACTTCAATTCAAATTTATCTATTCAAGTTGCTTTGGATGCTGAAAAAAATTATTCAAAGAAGCAACAATCAAAATGACAAATATTTTAATATGCAATATTCTCTAGTGAAATAAATATATTAGTCTAAATCACACATTACCGACATGTACACTAAGGGCCGGTTGCACAATCCAAGTTCAGCGGTGAACGTGGTTCAACGAAAATTTTCGGTTGTCCCAATCGCGTTCAAGCCTGGTCATATTATAACCTAAAGGTGTTTACGGTTTTGATTTTATAACATATAACAACATAACACAGGTGTTTATAAGTATTAAATTTTTATGTTGTGAAAATTGACCTCGAAAAAAAAAATGGTTTGAATCTGTTTTTTTACACTCGATATGTGCTTTATGCATTTTTACTAAAGCCAGCAAAATATTTTATTCTTTCGACGTAAAATTCGTTGACCGGGAGATTTCGTAATGGCTTCCATAATGAAAAGATTTCGCTGAATCTACTAAACTAAAGAAAAATATATTTTAATGCTTACAATGGTCCAATCAATTCAGTATCAGACCCTCGTCTCGTCTTTATCTATGATCAGACCATGTGGATGCGGTTCAGTTCAAATATGCTGGACTGACAAACATAGTTGCCAATCAAAGAAAACCAAATATACCACATTTTCAGGTGACGACGGTTCAGTCCAACCATCGTTGAACTTGCTTTTGTGCAACCGGGTCTAAGATTAAACTTTTATTAAAAGTTCTTAGTTAACATTTCAGAAGTTCTGAATAATGATCACACGGACAAAAGCGTTATATTATATACTCCGTACACTATAACTCGAGTGTTGCTGCCATACCCGCCTTAAATTACATATATAAACATAAATACTCGAAACAGTTTTAAATTATCTCAATGTTGTCCCCCTTTTGATGATTATTGCTTACGGAATAAGGGTTTATTCGAAAAGCACAAATATACCGTCAACGCAAAAGTAGTGTCTTAAAAAAAAATTCCCATCAATCTACGATCGATTCAACATCGCTTTAAATTATGTAGTATTTCAAAGTGCTTTCGCATTTTATGATTGCTTGAAGTTCTACAATGCCCAAAACGCAACAAAAAAGATTCGACTTATCAGACAAATTTCATGCATAATTGTTTTTCTGTTGGTAGTCACACTTCATCAGTGAAGACGTGCGACCAGTTATACTGTACGGAGTAGGAGTGTTTAGTAGAGTTTCCCAAACCGTGTTCCGCGAAAATATTTGCTTGACAATTGTCCTTTACTTCATACGCTCTGTGATTTTTTAGGTGTTAAAATGTTACTCATAAAAATTGTGACCTTTTTTGTCTTTTTAGGTGTTAAAATAAAGTTCAGTAGAATTGAATGTTCCGTTGTGTTTCGACAAAGTTTGGGAAACCCTGGTTAGGACAATGTATCTGGGCGTAGCCACCTGGCATACTCTTTTACAGCATGATATAAAATGTTAAATATACTTCTATTTGTGCATGTTGCGAGTCGAAATTGCGTTTGATTCTTTCTCTAAAAGTACACCAGTAGCATATTACGTTTAGAAAGCCAATATGGCTTACCGGGTCTTTAATGTTGGACGGAAGAATTTTACCGAAAAATACCACCTTTATACGTTTCGGTTAAATTCACCCGACCTCCATTAAATTGCACACCTACAAAATTGCTAATAATTTACAATGACAATTTATTGTCCTTAAAAACTCAGAATATTTAGTCCACTTTTTTGCAACTGAGTGTAGTTATCGTTACTTTAGTTGCTCCTTCAAAAGTTCAGTAATGTTCGAACATACATAAAAACTAAACCGCGTAACCACCGGGTTTGTCTAATGTGATGCCGATCCTTCTGCTTATTGGTAAAAGATGTTCGTGGAGGTGTTTGGGTTTACCGGTTAATATATATCGACAAAAAATTTAAATAAATATTGAAACTTTTCTCAAGGCGCACGAATCGGCTTAACCGAACCCGGTGGGGACGCAGCTTTATATTAAGGTGCGTATAGATGAGGAGTAGAGCCTGTGACGAAACAGTTTTTGACTAGAAAGCCTCCTGTGAATTTGGCTATTCCATCTGATAAAACATCGGAACGATTTTACCACAAACTTTGCCTGTTCGCATAGCTGATTTTTCGCGTTAGCTGTTTTTTTTTAATAATTATTATTTGTCTTTGAGATGTCACAAGTATATATAACACAATACAATTTGCATGCTTTTGAAATTTAGAGAAAAATGTTAAATACAAAAGTTGTAGATATGTCTAGTTTATCTTAAGATAGTACCAATTGATACAGGGTGTCTCAAATTCAAGTGACCGACCAAACTTTTTTTCTTAAATGGAATGCCTCTGGAACAGAGCTTTCATTCTAGTTTTAGGTATTTGCAACTTTAAACCCTTTCTATGTATTTGATGACCCAATAAATGTATGTTTGAACCCCGTATAAATCTGACAAACTTTGCTCATCACAGACTCGATCGTCATATCTACATGCACCTTTACACATAAAACGGCCTAACTCTTGCAATGGTGCATAACAGAGAGCATGAATTTCAACCGCTGATACTATTTCTATAACTACTACGTCTACTTGATACAATACTTTTGTGGTTTTATAATTTATTACTCTTCTTTCATCCGCTCGGTATGTAAAGGTACCGACATACTTATACAGTCTTTGTTATTGTTAATGAATTTAACCAAAATCACGATTCATATCAGACAAGGGAGAACGCATTAAGATGTGTTGAAAATGAAAAAGGAGAATTTCTTTTCAGGTTTAAAAAAATCAAATTAAGGATGTTCGTCTGCTTTGGAATTAACAAACAGATATGGATGAAAAAATCAACACACACTTATTAATAGAAGTGAACTTCCCCCATAGACCAAATTTCAACCACCCATCAGAAGAGATGTCTTCTGGGTAGTCCAGATTTTTTGCCCTTCTTACTTGGAATATACAGCAATTAACAAACAGATGTTAATAAAAGTTTCAGATATATTAAAGTAATATCTAGGGGTCAATATAATAACTTCTAAAAATCGAGTAGGTAATTTTATCCTTCACTGCCTTGGGCAGTCACAAGTCTATGCGTAGTTCATTTTGACTAGAGACGTACCAGATGAAACTCTTTAAGCGTTTCAAAAATTTTAGCTATTTTCGGCTTTTTATGGCAATCCAAATAACGATAGGAGCATTGAAGTAACGTTAAAATTTAAGGTTTCAAAATCTCTCTAAAAGCTTGTATGCAAGTCAAAGGTTCAATAGCAGCCGAATATTTCAGAAACTATCGATGGGGGCGCTGCGAAACGTCAAATTACTCGTTGCCGAGTGACAGTTGACACTTGTCTATCTATAGGGCTTGGTGAACAAGTCAAATGTGACAGTTGCAATTGTAAGCATTCTGACAAAAATCAAAAGCTTGCAAAAGTTGATTCATTTGTAGTTATAATTTTAGCCAGAATTCCGTGAAGGGTTTTGAAATTTAATATGGGCCACGTTGCCAAGCGTTGTTCGCGTTTCCTCTTTGTCTGTCTTGTCGACTTCACATCCACGATAATTTTGGTTGTCTCTGTTCATATGGTATGTGGGTACGCTTCCAAGTAAGTAACCAACGAACCTGGCAACTGTATTTTCTTATACACGTGAGATCCAACTCCAGTTCTGTGTTTTGGACTCGGCAATATGTGTTGTTGCACCGCTAATCGCGAAAGATGTGTTAAGCTGAGTGGTTCTTTTCTTAAAGGTTTTAGAAGTACAATAGCAGAGTTCAATGCGCCAACATTGGTCACCCAGACCGGTGTGTCACAATCTAAGACCAGAAAACGTGAAAATCTTCAACTATGCATATGATAAAACATTTGTATGTATGTATGGATCATCAAGTTATAAATAATCAACATCATTCTGCAAACTCACCTCTACCAGATTGCCCATATTCAATGATGTAGAATTCAATAAGGTCTACGACACTGCGGAAGGCGGGCATTCGGTCTTGCAGATGGTTTTGGGACTGCATTTGGAAGAGCCCCTTAATGTTTTCCAGTCTAACGGATCTCGGCCCTTTTTCAGTCTGAACACTCAACGAGAATTGATATTGTGGACTGCTGGATCTTCTTAGTAAAAAAGTACCAATCTAAAAATAAGCATATTTCAGGCTAATTTTTCATTTCAATTGCGTTAATTACAACAGACAATTTCTAAATGCCGTATTCATAAGATATGTATCATCATGTGTTTGTGGTTGTTACACGTCAGAAACCGACTTGGCAAGTACTTACAAGGGCGGATTCATGGGGGCAAATCTAAAACTTCTTGGATTCAAG